GGTTCGTCGACCTGCCGGATGGTCTTACGTTGAACACGGTCGAGGAGAGAAAGAGCGGAATACGAAGCTCCACCCCATATGTGACTAGTATTCGAGCATCTGGCGGATTTGAACTTTGTATAAAAGGAGAAGGAGCTGGGGTGTAAAGGAACGCTTTGCACGGATTAAAAAAACGACTTTGCGCGCAGCGCGAGAGGCAAATGTAAAAATAGAAACGGACTAACAGAGAGAAGAATTTATGTATACACCCAGGAGGGAGAGAGAATTTAAGGAACGAAGGGGCAATGAGTCAAAAATCAATTGAGAATAAGAGACACATATTTAAGACATACGGAGAGAAGTTTTGGAAGTATTGAAACAGACATAGATGGCAGGATCCCATGCGGACATGAGTCCCAGATTGGGGCGAGCACTAATGGCGGCGTAAAACAGCGACTAACTCCGGGGCACACATTTTTAGGACTATAGGTGGAATACCGTCCGGACCGGGTGGTTTACAAACATCCAAACCATGAAGAGTTTGGCGGATCTTTCTGGTTGTTATGATAGGTAGAAAAGAGTGATTGAATGTGTAGGAGGGGGGTTGAACAGTAGAGTCGGTAGATAAGGTAGAGTTGGAGGTAGACTGGGAAACGAAGAACTTTGCTTTTCGTGGGATTCACAAATAAGCGTATCAGAGTAACTGCAAATGGGAGGAAAATTGGAAGGGCAGAAATTACATGAAACCGCTTTAGCGAGGGACCATAATGTTCGGTTAACGGTGGCGGAAGAAGCCAAGCGCATAACCTTGTGACGAATGAAACAATCTTTAGCTCACTGAATAGTGACCGAGCATTTGTTTCTGGCTTGCACGAAGCGGTTGCGGGATGCTGGATTGGGTGAGTGATGCCAACGACCAAATGCTGAGGTTTTAAGACGTACAGCACGATTGCAAACATGACTAAACTACTCAGGGAATCGTGATTTGCCGGGTTTGGAGAAGTGTGGAATATAAAGATACATACCTTGAAGAACAATCTCAGTTAAGTTTGAAACAGACGTGTAAACATCAGACTTAAAACAACAATCCTTCCAGGGCTGACAAACCAGAAAGTCACAAAAACCGTCCCAGTTGGCTGAATCGTAACACCAAAAGGTGCGTCTGGAGTTAGGTGGTGAAATCGAGTGAGAAAGGAAATGAGACAATGGTCCGATGAGTCAAATGGGGAAAGGGAAGTGATGTTGGAGAAAGAAGAGGGAATGGATGTGAGAATGAGGTCAAGGGTGTGAGCGCGGTCACCAATACTGCTTCGCCTCCCGTGGACGTAGTACTTCAGTCAGTCAGTCCTTGTTGTGGACATTGAAATCTCCGATAATGGTAATTTGGCTGTCAGGATCTTCTTCAATTAGTGTCTCAATGTTGAAAGATCGAATATGAAAACTAGAAGAATCGCTACTGGTCGGGAGGGGCGGTGAAAGTTACAAAATTGTGATTGAAAGAAGGGAACCGAAGTTTCCTCCACATCAGCGGGCATTCACGGTTTCACGAAATCGGGGTGCGAATGTCAGGAAGAAGCGATAGAACAATAGATATAGGCGCAGAGACTAGCTTTAAGAAGTAAAAGAATGGAGAAAGTCATTAAGGAGATGAAGTTTATTAGTGTCTCACGAGGAAGGGATTTGTGTTTCGGACAAAAAAGAAAGGAAGAAGATTGGAGATAGTGGCATACAGAAACAACATTTGGGATTCGGACTGCGACTGATGGGAATCTTTCTGTTACACACGGGATATCGCCAAATACTGAGGGGAGACTAGCTTGTCTATTGAAATGCACTTTCAAGATACATCATGTGGAGTTATGTGGATGCTGTCGAAAGTGAAGAAACAATTCCTATCCTCTATCGCCAAATCGCCCCTGAAACTCCTCAAATGAGGCTTTTCTCCCATCGCCAAAAAACAAAGAATTTTAATCGCATCTTCACCCGATGAATAGATTGTGTATATTTCTCTCAAAACATTTAGTTCAATGTACACATATGCTCACACGGAAGGGAAAAATGAAACACTCAACTTCAGAAGTCCCGAGCAAGAATTCAGAACCAACACACGAAAGAAATCCAACTGGGTGGGATGTGGGAGGTGAGTGGGGGCTGTGGATGCGATCAGGCCTCATCATTGTTCTATTCTTTTGTTTGGCCTGCTCGGATTGGCTTGGCTAAAATGAAAGACAAAGAAGATCAGGCAAACATTATGTGGGGTCGAGTTTGGTTGTGTGTGTGTGTGTGCATGGTTAGCGGTTGTACGACCTGAAAATGTGAAATGGTAAAACAGAAGAGCATGAATATCACGTCTACCTTATTGTTTTTCAGTGCGCTCCTCTACACTGCTGACTCTTAAAACAAGAAACCAGATTCGTAGTCCGAGGCAGAGGAAGTACAGTGCGGTTACAGAGGGTTGCTAATAATCTTAGCCGCATAGTTTCGTTTCTCTGTTTGGTTATGGTAATTGAAGCAGGAATGCCCAGAGTAATAATATAAATAAATCATATTGGATTGCTTGTTCCTGACAGTAAAGGGGACCCATAACTATTCCCACTATCGAGCGGAGTATTTGAGGAGATACAAGGTGACAAGTAGGTTGTGAACAAGCTAAAACTTTCATCCATATCACATGGAGTACTGAATTCAGAGCCAAAGGCGTATTTTGAATTCTCGTGTACTGGACAAAAGTACGATTCTGTTTCAGTATGTGAACGATTTCTGGAAGCGAATAGGATATTTTGGGCCTAAACTGAACCCATTGAAGCAATGAATCATCCTTAAGTTTACTTCTGAGCATCACGGTAGATTTATCGATCCATCTTGACGAGATTCGTTTCCTTATCCGACCGACCGAAGTCAACTAACGTTCCTTCGTGCACGTCTAAAGCTCACTCGATCAACGGTCAAGAGCACAAGGTTCCCGAGTGGTGGTGCTAGGGGGGACGGACAGTCACCCCCATCTAAACTTTTAACCACGATCGGTAAACCACTCAAAAAGTATTTTATTTATCTGTGGAGAAAGTAGTTCAGTTCAGCTGGAAGGGCTTTTGCTACACCCGGGTCTAATCGTTGGCATGTGACGGGAGAAAAACCAATCAATTTGTTGGGTTCCTGATGGAGTGCGATTGGTTGGGTTCACTTGAAGTTAAACGGATTCACTTGACGTTCAAAAGGTATAGAATAGGCGTTAATCTGACAAATGCCTATATTTGATCATCCGGTTTAATAAATTTCAACCTTTCTTGCATTTCTCTCTCATTTTCATCCAAATGGGTGGCCAAAAGACAGCAACCAAAACTGGCGCACGATAGCGCATGGTTAATGGTTGTAGAAACTGAAACTGAATTGTAACACTCTTTTCATTTCATAAATGAAACCAGTATTGCATACATGAAGTGATGATAGCAGGGCCTGAATGCTCGATCCACGGGACGATAAGTTCAACTATTGCTGTCCCGAGTGCAGAGAGAGCAAAGACAGGGTGTTCATTTCCAGTTTAGGCATAGATAAATTCAGTCCCATTAGGGTGAACACTTTTACCAGCTTAATTTTATACTTGTTTTCGATCTCTCGTTCATCCTTTGTGCTCCACGAGGATGGCATTTTTTCATCTTGAGAAAAAAGAAGACGAAATTCGACCCCTTTGTTGGTCGATTGTTGAGAAACGTCACTGTGTGAGAGTCGGTCACACCCATATCCATCCGTTCATCAACAGTCCTAATGACAGGCTCATCTTCTCATTGCAGTATGTAGATGAAAGTCAAGAAAATTAACTAATTCACTAATAAAAGCTTATTCCGTATTGGAGTCTTCATCTACTTACTGATTCATCAGAGTGGAAAATTGACGTAACCCAGTGATAGAAAACAAAACAAAATGCACCGTTACCGTATGCACATTCAATAAATCCGCACTCTGCTGAGACCGTTTTGGTTACTTTGTTTTATTCACCCAATTGAACAAACGAATGTTCAGAGCGGTATTAAAGAGGAAAAAGAGAAAAAATTTCTGGTAGACTAAGTTTGCAAAGAGCTGGAGAAGATGTATGAGCGTCACTGTGAACGACACAGCCATCTCATTCATCGTCTCTGACCGTTGATTACAAAGATTCCAAGGTCCCCATCCACTAGGGAGCCTAAAAAGACCTAGAAATCCAAGTCGCCCGGTTGAGGTTCCCATACCCTCATGCCAGGTCTTAGTTTCCTCACACTTAATTTTTCCGCTCACTACCTGTCTGTGCATCGTGATCATCTATATTTGGTGGCGTGTGTAGCACACATATTCGACTTAACGCAGTCTATAGAGGTTGACTGCATTCTTCTAGTGAACGACTGCATTTGAAAATTTGCGGCTAATCTCAGTATCAGTTATCCGGTTTTTAAGGCGCCAGACTCCTCAACCCGGCGTGGCCAGCGGTGTTCGAATACGAACAGTCTGTCTCTCTCCTGTTCACGTTATGACCAAACTGTGCAAGGCTAGTTGGGACGGTTTTCGTTTATGCAATTGCAAACATTGCGAAGCATAGATCTATCATTGAGATCACACTGCACACACACACACACACACACACACACACACACACACACACACACACGAAGACCCATTGATGTACCCATACGTGTTCCGCATTTACTGTGCCCAATTGTGACTCACCAATATTTGTACGCAAGCGTGGATTTCCCCGGACCCAATTCACCTCTTTGATTCGTTCAATTTCGTAGTGATATCGTCTTTTGTCTCGAATCATTTGTTCTTTTGTCTCACGCAAAGCCAGTTCCAAATCCCGGATCCGTTCCACACTAGCTTTGACGCGTTTTTCCAGCTGTTGCATCATTCAACAGACCCGGGAAATAATATAAGGTTATCTGATGCATGTGACGAGTCAACTCGTACAAAAATGAAACGACGAAAAAACCCACGGTGTAAATGATGACAAAAGAGAGCGTGTGTAGTTTGGAGTGAAAATGAATATCCGAATTCGGCAACCATTGTGAAAACGTGCCTAGCTAATGACGATCCGATTAAACTGATATTAAATTCGAATTGCAGGACAATACAAATTAAAACGTGAGCCTCAATTACAGTTTTATTTTTCCTGAACCACAAACTGCAAGTTGTAATTCACATTCGATTTGATTAACCCCTGTCAATGAGTGCAAATATCGCTCGTCCACAAGGCAGTGACTGGACGAAGAGAGTTATTTATTCAAGTAACCGCATAAAAAAGAGATAAATAAGGTTACGTAAACGGAAACATCTGGTTTGCAACAATCGGTTAGTATTTTTGTGATCTTATCCTTATCGGCGATCACCAGCTTGATAGTCTATTTACCTCCTCTGTAGTTGCAATAGTAAATCCTTTTACCTACTCGCGGATGCCGTGGGAATCTGACAATCGTTCCTTGGTGTGTCCAAACTACTAACAAGTGTGAGTAGTACCTCATAACACTAGGAGTTTCAGAGTGTTTAAAAGGTATCGCTGCATTTCCGTTCTCCAGTTTTGAATTCTGTCTTTCGGCTACCAAGCTGGTCGACCAATACTGGCAAGAATGTGATTAAGCTAGCAAAGAAAGCGATAAGAGACAAACAATGGACTCGTGTTGAGTGTGAGAGAAATGAAAGGTCGTCACAATCAGCCATGGAACGAACAAAACGCCTCTAACCCTTGGTTCAGTTGATCCTCTAAGTGCACCTATCGACGAGACCTGACACGGCCTACAAGATGCCTGTGTTCAGTCGCACTTTTTCTCTCTCCCTCGCTCTCTCACGCACTCACAGGCCACATTTGCTCGCACGCTCTATTGTTATCTGTGCATAACTCCCACGGGATGCGAGGACAATACCCGATTCGGAGCATATCTTATGCGTATTTCGAACAAGTGATTGTTCAATTACTACAGTGTCCACGGTTTTTGTCAATACCATGATCTGTGCTCAATCCATGTCTTTAGGTCCTTTGAAACAGTGGCATGGCCCTTCGGTTGGGCTGAGGCTACCGCTACAAAATCTGGTATCAACTAATCAGGGATTGGGTGAATTGAACAAATTCAGCTGAATTGTTTGTCGGTCACGCTTGTTTCCACGGAAGTGCGGCCTCCGGATTTCTCCACAGATCAGGATAAAGCATTCTCACTGGGGTAAGTTTTTATAGCTGCATTTACTTTTAACTGAACTCACTCCTGATAGTCAATATTTAGTTACCCGACTCAAAGGGCACTAACAGATGGCAAATGATGTCCTAGTGCAGGGTGAAACAAATCAAAAATGTTATTCTTGTTACCCAACACAACTGTGTGATCACCATCTCAACGTTTTGTGTCCAAACCAGTTCGTTCGCTGTTATTCTTGGTGTTGCATTAGCACCATGCTTCTTTGCAAGCCAGTGATATATGTATATCTTTGAAACCGTATAAGGCTGAAAGATCAAAATCGATCGATCTGAAAGCAACAGTACTGTTGATATTAATGTTCAGAGTAATTATCCAAACTGCCTGTAATTCTCCGAATTTTCTCCAAAGTCGAAATGCCACCGGTCCGCGTATTCATCCATTGGACCAATATTATTTCGTATCTAGTGCAAATTCTAATCCATCACATTCGTGGTATTGCTGACCTGAGATTATGAGCACCAGGATTCTTTCATTCTCCTTCTTCATCATTGTGTTAATCAGCACCACTCTATCGTGAATCGTCAAGCATCAGTGTGCATGATTGATTTGGATCAACAACACTTCTCCGTCCTGTCTTTTTCTTGACACTTTAATGTCAATCTGTGCACGAAAGATGAGGTTAGTGGCAGGTTAGAACTGTTTGCACTTTTCTTTCCATTCCGTCGATTCACAACAGAGAGGAAAACCAGCCGAACCGGTCGGATCTTGCTTGACATAAATGTGATTCAGCGCGGCATGTTCCATGAGTAGGACTGCAATTAACAGATCCCTGTCGAGCTACAATCGCCCCACCAATGCTGGTGCCCATAAACCTGACAACGAAAGAATCAGACACAACCAAGCATATCTCAGTCGATTTCTATCACGTGGTTTTAGCACATTCTGAAGCGAAAAAACGAGCCGCGTGATTTCGAAGCTAATACTTGGAATGAATGTCCCCCGGTACACAGTACGATTGCTCCATCGTTTCACATTGTTTTGTTCCTCTCACTCGCAACCTCAAACAATTAAATTGTCTCTAACCCTCTATGCGATCTGATCGGATGATTTTCCACGATTTGCGGCACTTAGATTCCCTCAACCCGGCATGAAACTGTCTGATTACCAGCTTGTACCTTTTGTGATGCTCTTGTTTTCACGTGCTGTGGTGATGGCACCCCTGCTGTACAGTCGAAGTTCATTGGGCCTGCTAAAGACTCTCGGTTGTAAATAAGACGTGGTATCTCGCTCGAGTTAGCTGGGCAAACACCAAGTTCCTTGTTGCGGCTGAGCCATTCGACCGATCGATAAATGAACCCGTTCCTGTGATTTTCGGGTCGGCATAGAAAGTGAATAGATTCTGAATCCCATGCTGTTTAAGTGTTGGTAGAGAACTACCATTAGGAGAATTAGTTGTGGAACGATGTACCATGTGGGAAATTCAGAATGGAGAACACATATGTAAAGGAACGGGAACATACAGAACACTTCGCTAGCATTAACGATATCAACCCGGCTGTTGATGAGACTTTTGTAAACAAGTTACCAAGATCGACGAACAGGCGAAATGAAGAACGAACGGAGCCGGTGCATATTGACCTTGGTCCACCGAATCACGCCAAGATGAATCGATAAATCGGTCACCATGCTCAGGCTTTAGTGTTAACGTGATTTATTGCATGAATCGGTTCAGCTTACGCTCTCATTAGTCATGAGATTACATTTCATTTAGGAAGGAGTCCGCTCAAATAGTGCCGATTCTCTTTAATCAAATGAGATTGCCTACATACCTGTGGCATTGGAAGGTACACATGACGACTTGCTTAAAACGGGTAACAGGATGCGGTTAAAGAAGAACAAGATTTCACCTGACGTGCAAGTTCAAATTTGAACTCATTACTTAACACTGTAATCCCCGGGCTTGATTAGTGCATTATATCTATAATACCCGTGGCAACAACCTGTAACCTACAGTTTTTCCCTTCGTCACTCAGCTTCATCGCATAGCTATTCATCATTGTTACATCATCTCTCATCACATCTGTTTTCACTCCGATTACATTTGTGTGATTTTTAGAGTTCAATGAGTGAGACAAGTGGTGATAAGAATAACCGAGTTATTCACGGTCCTACAAAGAATGACAGCTTTGTATCCGGTGCGTCATGATAAATGGATTTGGGTTTACCACAGCATCCAACCCACGGTTCTAGTAATTTTGATCAGCGCCTTTTTCTGAGGTCAGGCTGCTTCTATGGAAGAATTCCTGAAGAATCCTAGAAATATGATAAAACGTGATATCCCAGATATCACTGAACCTTCTCTTTCATGCTTTGTGCAGACTGAAAATGGCCTGTTACTTCTGGACAGCGTAGTCTATCTATCTGAAGGAATAAATTGCATACAATTTTAAGGGGAACTATGTACTTGCAACATCATCTCACTTTGTCGCTCTCCTAAAACAGAACTGAAAAATTGAAANTGAAACCAGATCCAGTGGTACTATCACACGGTGGAGATAACACCATACCTAGTGATCAGTACGATTTTCTGTACACTTTCATGTAGTTTGAATAAATAAAATAGATTGCTCATTTGATTTTTTTAAAAAGAACCTGATCGTAGCTAGGTCAATTCATCATGTACTAAATTTGATGATCCTATTGGTAAAAAATAGAATAGATAACCTGGGTTGTATTACGTTAAACAGCTTGAAATGGTATGAGCAACATTTGGTCATAGTAGTGAGAGAGTTCACTGACAAACCAACGTTTGAGGTAAAATGGTCACTGTGAGAATATAATAGACTATAATATAATATGATATAATATAATATGTAATGACGTTCGTTGAAACCTGGTGTTATAGAAAGAGTAGTGAAGGACTTGATTTCATGAGACAGTGAACTTCATTGGGTACAGGACAGACGCAGGGTGAACTGAAAAGCTACGAGGCACTAGATATCTGTTTTGTTCTGGTTGGGTTTCCTCAGCAGTGCGAATCCTGGTACTGAGATGCATGATGTGTGACGCCTGCATTAACTTAACAAAGATATTTTGCGCTATATCATGTATACGTAGAACGAAGAGCCATCTGATCAGCTAACCAGTAGTGTGCTTGCGTTCTACTTCTCAAGTCCTGGGTTAGTCCTCCAATTGAGTTGATTTATTCATACTGATGATGAAACCAGATTTTACTGAGGTATGCCCCTTGNGAAAAACGGTCTGATCAGATAACCGGTGAACGAGTGGTGGTATGCTTACGTTCTAGCTGTTAGGTCCTGCGTTCGATCCTCAGTTGGGTCGGTGGATTTGCTTTATTGATGAAACCTAACCAGGTCAAAACAGCAGTCCAGTACTTCCTAGATTTTCAGCTTATAGCTCATTTACACGACTAATTCCTCATGTAATCTGATCAAATCCCCCATTATTCTCTCATAAAAAGTTTCAGACCTTATTGTTAGCTGCAAATACGTTAACAAGACTTTAGCAAAATAAAATTCATTCGAACATATGAGTCTTCAACAACCATATATCCTACCTTTATTTTTATTGATTTTAACAAAACTTGGACTATAGTAAGCTGTTTGGAGACATAAAGGATACATTGTATGTATTGTAGGAGTATCCTATTTGGATTAATCTAATCGATTTTTCACCGGTGCCAGGCACTGTTGATGCCCTCATAGATTCATCGTTTATTGTTCTATACACCCTGGGACAAAAGAGGCTGAGCTAGTTAAGGGCACCTCTTCCCAGGTGGAATTTACTATCTTGGCTATTGAGGGTCATTCATGTAAAGAATCACATCGACACTTAGGCTTGAGCGTGGTAACAGATTGAGCAGTCCACCCTGACGTGATTCGTTTACGGCAGATTGAGGTCAATTACCACCGGCTCCGTTCATTCTCGCCTTGGGTTCACTCGATCAACTGTCAGGGACATAAGGTTCCCGAGTGGGGTGGGTGGTGAGGTAGGTGACGAACAGTCNCTCAATCAAGAATTACTTTTGTTTGTCTATGGGGTAATCCGTTCAATCCGACTGGACGGGGTTTTGATTGACCCGGTCCAATCAGTTACGTGGGACGGCTAAAGCCCCATTCACCTAAAGGGGTTCCTAGTATAATACGATTGGTTTGATCTAATTGACATTATGGTGGTTTCACTTGAAAAGTTGAAGAGGTACAGGTTATTGGTATCAACCATATTTGTTGTGGCAGGTCTTTCGATTGGAATCCTTGAGACACAATAAGAGAGAGCTATCTGAACATTTTAAGCCATGACACTTCATCAGATCATTCCCAAATTTCGCTCCATATAATATTGACATCAATCTGTGGTATATCGGTTGTATTTTCATGAATTATTTCATAATTTATTGAGCAATCACAGGAAAAGGGATAAAGAACTATGATTAAAAACAATTCTACTACTGCTACCTGCTCTGATCTTCATAGTGAATTATTTCTAGCAAAGTAAATACAAAGATGTATCTCACGCACACAAATCCATTCACAAATACTTATTACCGCGGGGGTGGGGTGGGGGCTGGTAGTAACACACCTTTGGTATATCACAACGTAGATCAGCATTATCGCGGACCAATTGTTTGTGCACGCGAGTCAGATTATCCAAACTGTTGCGCAAAAATGCGATACGTTCACGTTGCAATGCTGTGCCTATTGCTTGAGCCTCGAGTGGTTCATCTTCGAGAAATGTGGTCGGATTGTTCGCGTTCTGAGGTAATGGGATGGGATGGGATTGGGATAATTGAATAGGAGCGATCAGGGTTCAGAGCACACAATCGAATTGTACGCAAATGGCTCTCAAGCACACGCGTTTTGCTCCTTATTCATGTGTGATTTGGAAAAGATGTTCTTTTAATTGCATTTATCTATGGTCATTAAGCACAATAAACAGCTTTTTTGGGAGTTGAACTCATCTCATCCGTTGGGTTACTCAATTACGTTCATCAGTGCGTGGCCGTTGTGTCTGTGTGATAAAGGATTAATTCTATGGCATAATTCAACATGATATCTAATTATCAAAATGCGAAATATTATACCCGTAACTTACCCCTTTACCCTGTTCACATTCGTCTGAGTCCAAACCGTGTGTCAGACAAATCACAGCGTATAAAATTATTATGAAAAGAAAACTTTCCATGGAAGAATATGAAAGACAACAGAACACAGGTCATACCTGACACTTAAGTATAAAATTGTGTACTACGGAAAAAAACTGTTGTAGGTTAATATGATTCTTGTGAGTTTTTCGTTTTCTCATCATGACTGCTGCGTACGGTTGAAAACCAAACACATAAAGCTGTGTGTTGAAGAAAACGGCACAACTGACTTAACACGTTAGACAACAACAGTCTGACATCAGAAGTAAAAATTCGATCTCTAACTACATCAATACATACCCCATTTATATATTTGGTGAGAAATTCCAACGAATGATCGGACTATAAGATTGTCTTGTGTTCATATCGATAGGAAATTGTGGAGCTTATTTTCTGTGATACCTCTTTGTGTTTGAAATTTCAGCTCTTCAAGCAATATAAATGACTTTTATAGGGTTCTGCATATCGCCGGATTTAGAACAAAGCATGGATCTCGCCGAAGTTGAGCACAGGTTTGTATAGATTTCTGCGTTATTCTTTCTATACAGATCACTGAGAGCCAAAAGCCACTATAAGACAATAATAAAAAGATGGCAATCAAAGGCTTTCGCTCACCTTGCGTATACGATTCTTCAAGTCCGTAATAAAGACACGTCTCAACGAGTTGAGCACTTGCAATTCATGCAGAACTGTGTCTTCCATAGCTTTGATTTCACTTTTGGCTTGTTCTCTGCACGCAGATACCGGTGGCCCGTCCGAACGGTTTCCCTCGTTTGTGTCCAGACGCCGACGTAACAGATCAGTTTCGTTCACAAATCGTTCCAGCTGAAGTTTGAGTATAATATTTTCTCTGGAACAACATAACCCACATGATAAAAAAAAATTACGAATGTGATTTTTCTCCATGGGACAAAACAAAGACTTACACTGAACCTACAATGTGTACAGGTGTTGACCAAACTCGTGCAACACCCTGACTTCAATCACATTTGTTCTTCCGAACACTTAGTTTTTCCAGCCTCATTCACGTGGGATTGAATATGCCATTGCATCACATCAGAAGAAACAAATCTGTAAGAATATTCACTTATGCCTTTGCTTCTGTTAGCCAAGTGCCATTAAGATGTACGACTTCTCAATGTTGATAATGGTTTGTGATGCCTCGGTTGTAAAAAAACAAAATCACAGGTAAAAACATTGCTAGAATTTTTAACAAATTGGGACTAAATGATAGGAGTATATCGAACAATCGATGCGCCATATGTTGTTTTATTGTGAATGTTATAGCGTTAATAACACAGCGATATCGGTAGAAAATTATATTCGCCGACGTTTCGGTTACCGTGGATAACCTTTCTCAAGGCAGGTATTTTACAATCAAATGACTCAGACTCAGTCAGTTATGACAAAGAATGAATTTCCATGATACTTTGTATGAAGTTTTTTCCAAATCTGAGCTGTAACTTTCGAACTTCTTCAAAGTTTATCCTGACACTCTAGGTTTCGCACATTAAAAAGATGATAGAAGAGAACTAAGCACATTGATGTGAGAGATAAAGACAGGAATAAATACAATTTACCCTCAGCTAACAATATACTAGTATGATATTTGAGACTAAAATGCATTTCCAAATTGAGAGTGATATTGCCCGAGTTTGATCGCACCTGTACACACTGCTATCTGTAAATGAACATAAGAAATATTAGAACATTTTAAATCCATATTGCAATACGTCATAAGGCATTGTATGTCGATTTTGTAGCTCGAGGTTAAGGGATTCTGCTTCGAACACGCCGTTGCGCGATTCGAGGTCCCTAAAAGATACAAAACACCACAAAATAGTGACGAATCTCCGAATACTGTTTTAGATTCTTTCCAACCGTTTCACAAAAGTTTCATGACCGACAAACTGCAGTAAGAGGAGTAAAGTGAATGGAACATAAATCGAATCTCATCGCGTGGACGGTCAATCCAGGCTGAACTGAAAAGCCGTGAAGCCGTGAAGTGCAATTGTTCCGGCCTGATTGTATCTCATCACCCGGACGAATCCACCGATACAACTCAGCCACAAACTGGGGACCTCACAGATGGGAAGAAAGCGTACTAACGAACAACCAGTTGAATGTACTGTACTCACTCTCGCAGCTTGTTCGAAGTGGTTATAGCTCGTTCAGTATCTCCTCTGGCCTTACTGATCTGATCCTGTAAGTGTACCGCATTTCGTTCGATTGTGGACTGTACACGGGCAATCAGCTGATCATCCATATCGGTCATATTTTTCAATTCCACACATAACTGCCTTTTGGTGCCAACTTGTAACAATTCCTGACTCGTAGAAGCCAATTCGGTTTCCAGTGCTGCTATCTGTTTCTCTCTTTCCGTTCGCTGACGTTCGGATTCGGCTAGCAACGCTTTCAACTGTACAATGTGAGTGATCGTGTTGATTTTGTAACGCGTATACGTTTGAAACGAAAACCGAGAGGCATAGATGCATTATTGTGTTATGTATAGATACACGCAGAAAAAGAACGGGTACGGGAATGTGCGAAAGCAATGAGGGAAAATAGTGCTTATTTTCTGCTGAATGTAATAGCAGTGTTAATTTGTTTCTGTCTTTTTGTATAAAAAACGTTTCTTTGTCTATTTCTAGCGTGTCCAAACATTGCATTACCCTAATTCATTTAGCCACTGAAAAAAATGGTTTATTATATCTTGCGGTTAACTTTGTATTGCTCTGTTCCCGTTAGGTACTCATTCGAACCATTGCTGTTGTCCTCGGTGACATTTACGCCTTGTTGCGCATTCTCTCTGTCTCTCTATCTCCTGTGATGGTTGCAGTTCACGTCAATGACTGGCATTAATGTCGAAAACTGATACGTTGCTACGTACGGTCATAAGTTCTGTTATTTATTCGCATTCTTATTCAAGTTTAATACTGATTTCCGTGCAATTGAGTGCTCGCTGACTTAGTCTTCTATCAATCTGTACCGTTTCAATTTTCCATACGTATTCATCGTTCGTCAATTGCAGTTGGTTCTACTTTGTAGCAAGCGCGTAAATCCCATAGAACATGAAACCTTCCGGACTGAAAATGTAGGACGGAGGGGAAACGCATGTGGATATTGCGACCACTTGCATCTGTAATTAGATTTATAGAAGATGTGTTGGAAGTAGTTTCCCATTGAACTTCCTTTCGTCGTTGTATCGAGATATTCACGAACGAGCCAAACCGTATTATTAAATATTTTTCACAGGTCCGTGAGATGTTTACTTGGAGAGTTATCTCAGAGTATAATAAGTTGAAGTGGTGACTAACCCCAAAATCACTTGTCCTCACGGAATACTGCAACGTGGAGTGAACAGCGATGCTCGAATGCCGACGGTCCGTGCTTATCCTCTGTCCGCAACACCCCTTTAGTTCCATTGACCGGACAGCTGCAGCATGCATTTGACCCAGCCATGAAATCGCTCGAGTAATCCAGACTAGCTTACATCAGTACTAAAATAACCGTAACAATAACAATCGCAATCGCGTCAGTCTACCCTTGAGTACGGTAGAGTAGGGGGGGGGGGTCTCGGATTGCTACTGGTCACCCCTACCTTGCACCTCGCAAAATGCTTCCATTCGACCAAGCACACTTTATCAGATTATTCAACAAGCTGCCTTGGCTAGAACCCATGAAACCTTCCATTTTGATGTATGCTGTGTCAACGAAACACGCATACAACACCCTACTTCAATCATCTCCTTGAGTTCTCTAGAGCCGGCCTCATCCTCACGCTTCATTTTCCGTGTGTCAGGCGTTTCGGTGTCCGAAGCTCGCGGTGTTGCTGAAGTTGGGGTTGAGCTAAGTGTCAAGACCGAGCGGTTAATTCTCGACTGGATTCCGGTTAGCAGCCGACTTTGCGCTGTACGTCTGGCTGGTTCAAAACGGATCAAGAGATACAGAACGAAGCGTCCATGTTTGTTCGTCGTGTCCGCCTATGCACCAACTGATTGCAGTTTGCCCGAAGTGAAGGATGAACTCTACAAGGATCTGTCTCAACTGCGGTAAAGTGCTCGGTCAACGGACATCGTGTTAATCGCTGGAGACTTCAATGCTCAAGTGGGATTCCTGGACAAATCAAAAAGGCTACTTGCTGGTTCACATGCAATCCCAGTGAACCGGACTGACAACGGCGAACGCCTACTTCAACTTTGTGCTGATTAAGGACTGTTTCTGTCAAGCACGAACTTCTCACACAAGAAATGATACCGACGTACATGGAGACCGCCAACCGCTTCACAGCGCTGGACTCAAATCCACTGACTTTTCCTTCTAGGTTGGCTAAGAACGTATCTGGCATTCGTTTTGTACCACTAACTCTTATCGATGGCGCGGTAACAACCATACGTAAATTCACTAGTTAAGCAGTACTTGTTCATGACCATAGTTCGATTAAGTGCCGTTAGGTTCACAGAAAGTTTATCTCATGTCTGCCGGCTTCCGTGAAGCCTTACTGTGACCTCCGTGAAGAGTCGATAAAATGCTAAAGCAGTCAGATTCTTCCTACGGTACGTGGCAAAAACGTGATGATTAAATGTGCACCAACAGATTTAGCAGGTGGAACAATATTCAATGTACGTTCCAGGGAAATGCGTAATCATAGCTACCCCAGCTGCGCTACGCAAACCATCGGGTTGAATTCATCGACGCACCGGTTTGGGGTCAATAAGAGCTTGATTTTAAGACAACAATATGAGAGAACCTTCTTCGTTGAAGTTCTCTGAATACTATTAAGTGATGGTTGAGAACATTGGGTGACCTGGAAGAGTCTCTTAATCTATGTCCATGTCTATGCACCCAGTCAGTTTATAATTACATCCCATATATGATACCTTTGCTTTGACAAAACTATTTCAAACGATAGTTTTGTTCTTTCGAGAACTCTCTCGGAAATCTGAAGCTCCTTCACTTACATAGTTTATCGATAACTAAGGTGTGAACACGTGTATCAGTATGTACCATCCAGGCTACTCGCAGGTATAAACTCTAGTGGCCTTGGCCCCGGGGCCAACCTACGTGACAAAACGAACCATGACCTCAGTCTCGTGGTGATGACGCAACACNACACGGCGTGGCACGTTGAGCGTGTAAAACAGTCAGAATTGACATTTGTCCCCCCCTCCCCATGGCTCTACATATACCTCCATAGAACTTGGCATATATTGTTATTGTTTCCCATTTAACTTGGAAAACCAATCCCGTTTATTTCTACATTG